TACTTCAAGTGCGAACCTCTTTGGCTTTCAGCATTCGGCTGGCACATGTTGGACACCAATTGCGGCCTGGATACAGTTGCAGTTGCAGTGAGACAGGGCTGCGCTGATCAGGCCAGAGCTGCAGCTTGAGCCCAAGTTGCACGAAGCTTCATCCAGCACACACGCACACAAGAATTAACACTAGGCACTTCCGCCATCCACCCGAATGCTCCCGTCACGCTCCAAGCTCCAGACCAAGAAATCCGCCAAACAGGCTCAGGAAGAATGCCTGGACTTGCAGCTTGACTGGCGCACTAACTGCATAACTGCACACTGAAATCAACATGACGCACACGTGTGACACACAGCAAACCACGGCAACCTCTGCTCCCGAGGGCCTTGAGCTGCGACTTGCGAGGTGTTCGGCACTCGGGATCTGCCCAGCCCTCAGGTCGAAAATCGAGCGCGGTGCCCCTGAGAATGCGAAAACACTGCCAACGACGAGCCTTGGAAACTACGGGAGTCAAAGCCAACTGAGTCTCTGTTTGCATATATATGAATATGACTTCTACACACACACGGCGCACTTGTTTCAAGTGAATCCAACGGAACTGATAGTTTGAGGGCAATTTCAACCAGACTAGGATGGAGTTCAAGCCAAAGAATGCCAATAATCGAGTCACAAATTGTAAGCAAGGTCCGGAGCAACAGCTTGTCAGAAGTGGTCTCTGGAGCAGTCACAGTGTGCCAAACATTTCAACAGTTGCACAGTGGAGTGTTCCCCACTGCATCTTAGGTGCTTTACTGGTGTCGTTGCTGCCAGTCCCGTGTCACCCCATGCTACAAAACATGAGTGATCCTCTGCTGCCATGATCTTGGAGGATTCACAACACACAACACACACCACACACACACAGACACGTTCCAACCCCAAAAGTCTTGACAGGATAGGAACCTTGCCGTCCACAATGGGAGGAAAGTTACTCAAAAGCAGCCAAACATGTTTTACAGCCAGGCTTTGACTCAGACAACTTGACCCTCTTGCATTAAAACTTGGTCGCCGATAGCTTCGATTTCACACCCCAAGTATCAAGAGCCAAAAGGATCTGCTCCAAAACCATACTCACAATCACGCTCCTCCACTACCTGTAGCCTAAACATTTCAACCTGAATTGACAGTTGCCGATTGTGTAAATGCCGGGGCCAACATGTGCTGCATATTTTGATAATCACAGGGTTTGGGAACTAAGAAGAGAGCCGGATCGCATTCGCAGAAGGCCACGCCGAGCTCAGCCTCGGAACCCGATTCTCAGCAACGGGACAAAAGTCTCAAGAGCTCCACGATGCTCTCGCCCGGATCTGCAAGCGCCAGAGGGAGCCTGTGCCACCTGCGCGCGGACCGATGCCCAGATTTTGCCATGGCTGGTGAGGTTGGCACGGCACGCATTGGCCACGGCCCGAACACACCTGCCGTGACGATGCCTGGCATGAATGCATTTGTGGCTCTCCAATACTCTCCGGATTCAAGCCAGGCAGATTGAGCCATCTCACTCACCAGACTCAAGTTCAAAACGTGCCCGGGAGGCCCCCGCACTACAGGAGTTGAGTATCGCTGCTGACGGAGGCTGGCCTGGGGCGACCTGCATTTGTTCCATGGCCATTAAATAGACACCATTTGCGAAGACTTCTTCACCCACAAACCTACGAGGCTGAGCACTGAGAGCCGGGCATGCTCATACTTGATGAGATAATCTGGCCTGAGGAATGAGCATAGGATTGAGGAAGTGTTTGATCACCTTGTAGTTGTCAGCGCTTGTTCAAGCTGTCACACGAAAGAAATTTGTGAAGGTGTCAAGATCCCATGGCTAAGATAGCAACTGTCTGCGCCAATTTTCTCTTGCATGAGTCGGGATCTCCTGAATCCAAATGTGGCAATTGCTAGCATGAAATACATCCACGTGCAGAGGCATGTGCGCTATTGTTTGCTGAGAATGTGACCAAGCTGCAACCTTGCAAGGAAACCTGAGCGAGCAAAATCAAAGATTTGGTACTGTTGATGTGCGGTGCTCCATCCCAGGCCACCACGGCCGCGCAAAGCAGGAGCATGACCAGTACTGGATCTGTTCCTCGCGCAGTCCATTTTCTCACGAAGCGCATGCTACAAGCATGCCTCGAGGCGACGCTCGCTCTGAGCCTGCGACGTTGCATGATACGCATGACCCAATGATCCAATGCGAAATAGACACTGAAACGGTGTCATACGCGCTTTCATCCTACATCACACATTGCATACTTCTTGAACCAAGCAAGGGGTTTGATAGTCCAAAACCGCACGGCGTCACGGCCTAGTCTAGTCGCCTGCAAGCCAAAGAGCATTAACCTGGCATCAACGCAAATCAAATATCTGCTAACGACCTTGTGTGGGCAAACATATTTGCCAGCATCATAAATATGACTGTTAAAGTTAAGCACTTGATTGCATAGGCAAAGCAGCCAAGGAGCAGTAGTGTGAACGATGCACCTGGGTAGAAAGACAAGTATGAAATTATGGAAGGCCTGCAAGTGCACTCTGCAAACGCTGGCAGCTGGCATCTGCAAAACCTGAACCGGGCCTGAATTAAGACTTGGGCGTGCTAAGAAACCGAACGGCTGACTTTTGTTTCGAAGTTTAAAGAATGATGACTCACTACCACTCACTCTCTCACTCTCTCGCTCACTCACCCGCCCACCCGCCCACCCACCCACCCACTCACTCACTCACTCACTCACCCACTCACTCACTCTCTCTCTCTCTCTCTCTCTCACCCACCCACCCACCCACCCACCCACCCGCTCGTCGTTCGATCATTGTTTCTCTCATTCACTCATTTATTCATTTATTCACTCGCTCGCTTGGAACGCGCCGATGTGGTCAGCTGGAACACACCAAGACCACACGATCATTCACTTGAAGCACTCATGTGTGCTTGATCCGGCGCCTGCGCGCGCTCAGACACGCATTTCTGAGCCTCAAACACACACGCCTGCCCGCGGAACACACCGCACATGAATCAGTGACAACCTGGACAAATAGAGGGAGACAAAGGGAGACAAATGAATCCGTCCACTTGGAGATAACAAGAGACAAGTGAAGGGAAAGGCAGACAAATGGGGCCAGGCATAGTGCCAGGCATCCAGCCTGGGAGACAACGCAAAACAACTGACAAACCACCCACAAAACGAGACAAATTAAGGGAGACAAAGGAAGACAAATGAACCCGTCCACCCAGAGAGCTGTGCCAGGCATCCAGGCTGGGAGCAACGGGAGACAAATGAAGGGAGCCAAAGGGAGACAAAACCCGTCCGATCAGACATCTAGGCTGGGAGACAACGAAAAACAAATTAAAGGGCCGGATAATCCCACAAGTCTACGCTTATTGAAGTATGCGACACTTGCATCTGCCAAGCAGCGAATAATCCCAAATCCGAGACATGCAAAGACCCTCACATGCAAAACCTTCACGCAGTCAGCTATGTCGAAAACTCTCAGCACTTTGTTTTTTTTCGCTCTGGCAGATCGAGGGGTCGCATTGGCATCGCCAATGGCATATGTCAGCGGCATATGTTTAACATATGGCTTGAAGTGCCATCGCGTCAGGCGCAGCATGCCAGCCTGGCCCCATGCATTCTGCGCTGTAAGGCGCTAAGTACTTCAAGACGAAAGCCTTCCAAGAGCGGAACCCCATTTCGGCGGGCTTCTTTGCATTGCAGCTGGTTCTACAAGCGTATATAGGTCGCTCCCGCGACCGCAGATGCAAGCAACTTCCAAATCATCCACGCGTCCGAATCTTTCGATTGGGGTGTCCTGAAGTGCGGCTCGATGATGTGTTCTGGCACGGCTGCAAACGCTGCCATTTAGACAGCTGCCAAATGCTGCCCCTGCCACGCAAACACACACTCAGATGCACAGAACGCTGCGCCTGCCACGACTTCGGCAATGGCATCTCCAAAGTGCTGCGCCTGCCACGATTTCGCGAGCCCCGAGCCGCGCGCGCGACAACATCCCAGCCCTTTAGACAGCTGCAAAACGCTGCCCCTGCCCACAAACACACACTCAGATGCACAGAATGACTTCGGCAACGGCATCTCCAAAGTGCTGCGCCTGCCACGATTTCGCGAGCCCCGAGCCGCGCGCGCGACAACATCCCAGCCCTTTAGACAGCTGCCAAATGCTGCCCCTGCCACGCAAACACACACTCAGATGCACAGAATGCTGCGCCTGCCACGACTTCGGCAATGGCATCTCCAAAGTGCTGCGCCTGCCACGATTTCGCGAGCCACGAGCCGGGCTCGGCAAAGGCATCTCCCAAGTGCTGCGCCTGCCACGATTTCGCGAGCCCCGAGCCGCGCGCGCGAAACATGCAAAGCACACACTCAGATGCAGAGAAGCTGCGCCTGCCACGACTTCGGCAATGGCAGTGCTGCGCCCTGCCACGATTTCGCGAAAGCGCGCGCGACAACATCCCAGCCCTTTAGCCAAATGCTGCTGCCACGCAAACACACACTCAGATGCACAAATACTGCGCCTGCCACGACTTCGGCAATGGCATCTCCAAAGTGCTGCGCCTGCCATGATTTCGCGAGCCCCGAGCCGCGCGCGCGACAACATCCCAGCCCTTTAGACAGCTGCCAAACACGCAAACACACACTCAGATGCACAGAATGCTGCGCCTGCCACGACTTCGGCAATGGCATCTTCAAAGTGCTGCGCCTGCCACGATTTCGCGAGCCCCGAGCCGCGCGCGACAACATCCCAGCCCTTTAGACAGCTGCCAAATGCTGCCCCTGCCACGCAAACACACACTCAGATGCACAGAATGCTGCGCCTGCCACGACTTCGGCAATGGCATCTCCAAAGTGCTGCGCCTGCCACGATTTCGCGAGCCCCGAGCCGCGCGCGCGACAACATCCCAGCCCTTTAGACAGCTGCCAAATGCTGCCCCTGCCACGCAAACACACGCTCAGATGCACAGAATGCTGCGCCTGCCACGACTTCGGCAACGGCATCTCCAAAGTGCTGCGCCTGCCACGATTTCGCGAGCCCCGAGCCGCGCGCGCGACAACACCCCAGCCCTTTAAACAGCTCCCAAATGCTGCCCCTGTGAGTGAGTGAGTGAGTGAGTGAGTGAGTGAGTGAGTGAGTGAGTGAGTGAGTGAGTGAGTGAGTGAGTGAGTGAGTGAGTGAGTGAGTGAGTGAGTGAGTGAGTGAGTGAGTGAGTGAGTGAGTGAGTGAGTGAGTGAGTGAGTGAGTGAGTGAGTGAGTGAGTGAGTGAGTGAGTGAGTGAGTGAGTGAGTGTGTGAGTGAGTGAGTGAGTGAGTGAGTGAGTGTGTGTGTGTGAGTGATGTGTGTGTGTGAGTGAGTGTGTGTGTGTGTGAGTGAGTGAGTGAGTGAGTGAGTGAGTGAGTGAGTGAGTGTGTGTGTGAGTGTGTGTGTGTGTGTGTGAGTGAGTGTGTTGCGTGAGTGACTTTTGTGAGTCAGTGAGTGAGTGTGAGTGAGTGTGGTGAGTGAGTGTGTGTGAGTGAGTGAGTGTGTGTGAGTGAGTGTGTGTGTGTGTGAGTGAGTGTGAGACAGTGAGTGTGAGTGAGTGGGCGGCGGGGGCGGCGGGGCGGGCGGCGGACGGCGGGGCCGGACGGCGGACGGCGGGCGGCGGGCGCGGAGCGGTAAAAGCAAGAACCCCACACAAAGATGTGGGGAATGAAGGGAGACAAAGGGAGACGAATAAATGTCCAGGCAGAAGATGACGGGAGACAAATGAAGGGAGACAAAGGGAGACAGATGAACCCGTTCAACTGGCAGACAACGGGAGACAAATGAAGGGACCTGTCCACCCAGAGAGCCGTGCCAAGCATCCAGGCTGGGAGACAACGGGAGACAAAGGAAGACAAGTGAACCAACCCCCCAGGCATCCAGGCTATGGCTTGGCCATGAGCGAGTCACTTTGAATGAATTTAGCTCACAGTAAACTGTCTGGGGAAAACAAACATCCTAACTAGAGGACGATTGGCCCGAAAGCATTTTTCCCCTAGCGCTCTTCCAGCCGCGGAGACACCTGTTTGCATCGATGCGGCGAGCGTGTCTGCACGCGGCGATGCTCAATGTGTATGGTCACACGAGAGCTCATCTCATCGTCCTACGAGAGGAAACATGGCAGTGTCTGCGCAAGCTGCTTTGTTCCAGGCTGCTGCGCGCAAGTTGCTCTCTGCAAGCTGCTGCACGCAAGTGGCTCGACATCTGCCTTCAAGCTGCGTTGCTCTGTGCAAGTTTCGCTCCGCAAGACGCTCAGCGCCTGTATCTGCGCGCAAGATGCTCAGCCTGAGCTGAGCTGTGGAGGTGCTCCGCGCACTATACGTCTGCGCTTCAGGGTTGCGATTTTCCGGTCGAAGCCGCCAGGCGTACACTCCAGCTTCTTTGCTTGAGCCGGAGCTGCCGCGGACCAGGGAATCGAGCCCGCGATTGCAAAAGCAGGCGCGCAAACCACGAGACAACTTCCACAGGCCATTTCGCGAGTAATAAAATCGCACGGCGCCACGGCGAGAGCGCTTCGACACGCACGATCTCCGCAGAGGGTTCGCCGAGACTAAAACGAACTCACACGGCGCCACAGCGAGAGCGCTTCACGCGCACGATCTCCGCAGAGGGTTCATCCGCGCACCGCAAAACCGCAAAAAAGCCTTGAGTTTTTGCACCTCGACCAGGCCGATACCCGCAGAGCGTCACGCGGGCACAAGAAAAAATACTCGAGTTTTTGCACGCCGATCCCCGCAGAGGGTCGCGCGGGTACCGCAAGAATCGCAAAGAAAGAACTCAAGTTTTTGTACCTCGACCACGCCGATTTTTTGCACCTCGACCACGCCGATCCCCGCAGAGGGTCGCGCGGGCACCGCAAGAATCGCAAAAAAAAACAAGTTTTTGCACCTTGACAACGCCGATCCCCGGCACCGCAAGAATCGCAAAAAAACCTCAAGTTTTTGTACCTCGACCACGCCGATCCGCGCAAAGAATTCATCCGCACACCGCAAAAACGCCAAAAAAACGAGTTTTTGCACCTCGACCACGCCGATCCCCGCAGAGGGCCACGCGGGCACCGCAAGAATCGCAAAAAAAAACTCGAGTCCTCGACCACGCCAATCTCCTTAGAGGGTCGCAAACCCAATCGACGATCAAAGTCCTGCCCCAGCGCCCTAGAAAGCTAAACTTAACTTACATAGCTGTTAACGCCGAAGAGCTACGCACTTGGCTCTATGCGCTTGGCTCTATGCACTTGGCTCTATGCACTTTCGGCTCTATGCACTCGGCTCTGTGCGCTCGGCTCTATGCACTTGCCTCTATGCACTTGGCTCTATGCGCTTGGCTCTATGCACTTGGCTCCACGCACTTGGCTCTTTGCACTTGGCTCTATGCACACTTGGCTCTATGCACTTGGCTCTATGCACACTTGGCTCTATGCACTTGGCTCTACGCCCGGCTCTATGCACTTGGCT